ATATTTGCATTTTCTATACACAATACAATTTTTCAAAATATTTTGATTTGTTATGAACTGTTTACAAACAGTTTCTGTTTCCAATTTTATTAGTCTCTTAGATTCTGAGCGGAAAGATGAATGTATTGATTTTACAATGATGAGTTTTTTTTTAGTTTTCTTTAAATTTTTAAATTATATTTGTTTTTGTGCTGTTATCACCTTTTAGGACAGTAAAAATGCTTAGACTTTCGTCAACAGGATCTTTTATGATAGGAAAGTGAATCTAGTTGCTACTTTGGGAGAGAGGGGGTCAAAAGTGAAAATTTCCCAGTAGTTTTCAAAAGCGCCGTGAAAAACAAAAGAAAAATTAAGGAAAAATGGGAACTTTTATGCAAAATCTGTTTTCGAGAAAATTGATTTTGGTTTTTGGTGCAACTCTTAAACAAATGATCGTAGGTAGGTACATGACATTTTGACTGAATGTTTATAATAGCATTTTCTATACACCATAACATTTTCCGAATATTTTGACTTATTTTGAGCTGTTTACGGACATTTTCAGTTTCCATTTTTTTTAGTTTTTTTTCCTATAAATATCAATACAATTTTATTTGTTGGGTAAAAAGCGTGAACATACATAAGTAATGCAAGGCTCCTGATATATTGTTACAATAGCAGTTGAAAAATATTAAAAATACATAGGCACAATTTTTTTATAAGGTTTTAAAGTTCGAATTTCAACAAAATGTAGGTAATTATTTTGTAGTTAAAAATGTATAAAATGTAAAATGTTCAACTTTTATAGCTAAGGATAGAAAATTTAAAACAATAGGTTCCACGTAAATAGGTTATGAATTTCTGTTAGTTTTTTGTTTATGTGGATATTCATATTCCATGTAAGTTTTTAATCGAGAAAAACACCAAGGTACCTATTTGAACAAGTTTTCTTATATTTTTCTTTTGTAGTTTTAACCACATGTTACAACATTTGTATCTAGAAGTATTATAGTGTACACCTGCATAATACCTACATAATATGCTTCGATAAATAACGTTAACGATTAAAGTGCTAAACCACTATCGGAATTGGCACTGAATTTTACCGTATAATGTTATTATGAAAAGTTCAAAATATAAATTATTTCAGTAAATACTAATATATTATGCACATTGAAATTTTAAAACAATCCTATACGCTAAAAATTTAATATTTTCTGTGTGTACGAATACGAATTCTGGATTGCCGAAGTCTATATAAAAATAAGATATAATATAATTATTTTACTAAATATTTAAAACCTTACACATAGTTGTCAATTTCTCATCCAATAAAACTAAAAATATCCACTCAGTCGATAATCCTAAGACACGTATTCAATAATATCCCTCAGTTTATTCTATCTTAAAACAAAAAAGTTAAAAAAAAAAAAAATCGGCTAGTGGATACCGCACTGCTATATAATAGTGGGTGGGTCACTGCAATGAACGTATGAAATTTCAATTAAACTATACTATATAGGTCGGCATATTATAATTATATAATAAGTATATTTCATGGTAATATGATTTTGATATTGTTATGGTACTTATTTTCATATTTGTATTACGGTAGGTTAATTTAATTTTTGCTGAAAATTTCGTACTTATCATATTAATTAATATTTTATTATTATGATAGCCAATATTTGTATCACAATATAATATATTGAGCTTTAAGTCAATACCCCGTTACCGACTTACCGTTGAACAGAGTAAATAGGTTCATAGTATGAATAGATAAAAGCTGAAAATTAATCTTAACATTTTAAAACATTTTTAATTATTAAGCCCCCTCCCCCCACCCAAACAAAAATCCTGGCTGCCCGCCTGTTGCGTATAGAGTAAATTTTATAATATACTTAGAAGTTTTCGGCCTCAACGAATAATGTTTTTGAATCACAACAAAATAACTATGACATCTCGTTAATATAACATAACATTACATACCTAGCGGTAACATGTAACGCGTTATTCTTCGTTTAATATTAAAGCATTTTTAATTAATACATAATATTATAAATTATAATATTATTACGATAGGAATGTGCTATGATTTTTTTTTTCTGTTTTTTATTGTGACTTGAAAATTGTTCTAAACCATGGTATGGAAGAAAATATTACCGACAAATAATGACGAGTGGATTAACAATTCTTTAAAAAGAAAAGAAGAATCGGTTCTAAACCGATTGAGAATTGGACACACACGACTTACGCACGGGTACTTAATGGCAAAGGAAGAACCCCCCTCATGTGAAGTCTGTGGTGTCCAATTAACAGTGAAACACATCATAACCGAATGCCTAAAATTCCAACGCAATCGTCAAATCATCGGATTAAATTCATCACTGGACACCGCACTGGGACCCAACACCGAAGAAAACTTTAAGACAATAAAATTCCTGAAATTGACAGGCCTTTACAATTTAATATAATAATATTTAACCCGACTGTACACTATGTAACCACACCTATTCTGTAATTTCAATGTTAATACCTAACTTATATATAAGAATACCTTAAAACTGTAAATAATTATTGTATATTTCATATTTGTAGCTAATGACCATAGTTATCGGGCATTTTATTAGATCAATAAAAAAAAAAAAAAAAATAATGACGAGTGATGACAATATAGAATAATATTATTGTGGCCATGTCTGAGAACCTAGCAAATGTATTACACTTTCCGCTCGGTGGGTAGGTACTCGATAAAGGTCGAATCACTTATTGTGCGGTTATGCCTATAATATTAATATATTATTGTACAACTGTCAAAACACTCATACCGTCGAAAAGTGATTTCCATTTTTTTTGTGTCTGTCATCACGTTTTAGGACAGTAAAAGTGCTTGGATTTTCTTCAACAGTAGCTTTTCTGATAGGAAAGTGAATCTAGTTGGTACTTTGGGGGGTGAAAAGTAAAAATTTCCAAGTAGTTTTCACAAGCGCTATAAGAAAGTCAAATGAAATTTTTATGAGCTTTTGAAATTCAAATTTTTACAACATTGGATATTCACTCGATTTCTCATGTAGCGATTTCCTTATTTTGTTGTAATTCAAAAACGAATAACTGTAGATACATGAAAATTTCACTGAATGTTCAGATTAGAATTTCCTATACACTGTACAATTTTGAAAATATTTCGACTCTTTTTGAGCTGTTTACGGACATTTTCAGTTTTCAATTTTTTAGTTTTTTTTTTCTATAAATATCAATAAAGTTTTATCTGTTGGGCCAAAAAGTGTAAAAATTTAATACAAGGTTCCTGATATACTGTTACAGTTGCAAATGAAAAGTATTAAAAATACATATGCAATATTTTTTTTTTTATAAGCATTTAAACATCGAATTTTTACAAAATTTATCAAAATCTCAAAAATTATCAATCATTGTAATTAATAAATTATAAAACGTTCAGTTTTTATAGCTAACGATTGCAAATTCAAAACTAACGTTCTCATAAATAGTTCATACTGTAACCAAAAAATCTAAAAAATATATGAACACAGTTATTTTTTACAGACATTTAAATTCAAATTTGGACGAAATTACATATTAAAAAACCTAGAATAACTATTTTAGTTATTTTGTTGTGATTGAATAATATTATTCGTGGGTACTTGAAACTTCTGAAGTGTACTATTATATATCTATGATAGTATCACGGTTTTTGTTGATGTATAACGCGTTATAAGTACCTAATGGATATTGTGATATGATTAATTTGGAATTTATCATAGGTACCTATTATAGGTCAATTTTTTGTTTAATACCATAGATGTGTATATAATATGTCGACATGTCGTATACATAGACTGACATAGGTACCGTCTCCGCTCAGAATCGTTTTTCTTATACAATGATATTATATCGTTGAATTCAAATTTAATATCATCCATTATACAGTGACCCACTTGTAACCTACTGTACAGCAGAGCGACACCCACTCGCCCACCTTTTTTTTGTTCTATGAATGTCAATAAAACTTTATTTGCTGGGTAAAAAAGCTTGAAAATTGAATACAATGTTCCTACTACATTATTACAATGACATTTGAAAAATATTAAAAATCCCTAGTCACTGTTTATATATTTTTGTAACGGTACAGAATGTATACAGCACATTAATTACTGTTTTATGGTATATCGAACGCCATCTAGTGAAAACCGGCGGCCAAAGGACGTACTAACATCAGATGAACTAACTCATTAACGTTAGACTAATTAAGCTCGCCGATGTTTCTTACCTATAATGTGGGATCTATTAAGACTTTATAAACACGTAGAAGTAATAATATAACAAGTTCAAGCCATTAAAAGGAAGTCCGTTCGGCCCATAGTCAGTGTAATCGACGCCGCCCAGAGTGCGTGACGTGTCCGACGTGTTACGACTAGCCAACTTCCTACGAGTTTAAAGATTTATATTATAATAAAAGTTTAGACAATGACTTCGATATTTAAGTACCTCACACCTAGACTAACTATTTTAGTTGTTTTGTTGGGATTGTGTAATATTATTCGTGGGTACTTGAAACTTCTAAAGTACACTATTATATATAAGTACCTAATGGATATTGTGATATGATTAATTTGGAATTTATAATAGGTACCTATTTTAGGTAAATTTTTTTTAATACGATAGATAAGACAGATAATTATAATATAATATGTCTTATACGTAGACTGACATACCGTCTCCGCTCAGAATCGTTTTTCTTATACAATAATAATAATAATAATAATATTAATGATATATTATATCAGTGGTCGGCAACCTTTTTAGACTCCCGGGCCACATTCATAAATTAAAAAGAGTTCGCGGGCCAGACAAAAATTAAAATTTTATATTCCAAATTATTTACTAAGAAAAAAATAACTGTTTAAAACTTTAAAATAATAGATTAATAGAACATAAAAATTACAGTTTTTAATAATATTATTATAATATAAAAGTATGGAAATTACAACTGCTTAATAGGCTTAATGTGATTTTTGTTGTTGGATATTGTTTATTATTTTTTCAATTTCCACATTAAAATTACTTGTGCTTGTACTTGTTTCTTTCAAAAAATTATATATTTCCTGACGTAACATGAAAAACCTTTCAAGTACACGACCTCTGCTTAACCATCTAACTGCGGTGTAGTACAATACATCGCCATATTCTGCATTAATTTCAATCAAAAAACTTTGAAATTGTCTATGATTCAGTCCATTGCTTCGTATAAAATTGATGATAGATACTACTTCTTTCATTATTGAATCCCACGACATAATTTTGGCACAAAGTGCATGCTGATGAATAATGCAATGAAAAAATAGCGGTGGTGACAATTCTTTTAATTTCATTTTATTAATAATAATAGCTATTGCAATAAAATATTTTTGCCTGTCATATTTCTTGCTCCGTAATAAATTGTCACAAACATCTTCAATACGTCTTGTTATTGTACGAGCAGATAAGGGGACTTCTTCAAACTTATGTACAATATCTGGACAAATATTACCGGCCATGCTTAGTACACATTTTTTGACAAATTCTGCGTCTGTAAATGGTTTTCCCTCTTTCGCAATTAACATAGCTACATTCACACTAGCAGAAATTATGGCTTTATTTTGAGTAGTTATTTTTGAAAAGATCGTTTGTTCTCCGGTTAGAGCTTATTGTAGTTTATTAACTTCAATTTCTCTTAACTGTCCGTATAAGGAGTCATATTTAACTTTATGCTTGGATTCATAATGCCATTTAATATTGTATTCTTTCAATACAGAAATTAATTCACGACAAACAAGGCACATGACTTTTCCTTTATTTTCAATAACAAAGTATTGATTGATCCATTTATGTTGAAATACACGACATTCAGAATCTATTTTTCTTTTTTTACTGACATTCATATTAACTAGTTTAAAATTTAAATTAACAGCCAAATAAACGATTACTAATATAAGACATAAAATATAAATTAAAACGACGCAAACCGCACATGAAAAACGCAATGTTACTGAGCACAATCGAAAATTAAGATTATAACCGAAATACACTCGTCGTATCTACTCTATCTTATCGGTAACTGTCAAAGTGTCAAGGTATATCCACTATTATAAAATATGACTGATAGAAACGTTCAACTATATTTATACAATATGATTTTTTTTGATATGATATTCAATTAAATTTCGTTGTTATAGAATTTAAAGCGGGCCGTATTTAATAGACTCGCGGGCCGGATGCGGCCCGCGGGCCGCCGGTTGCCGACCACTGTATTATATCATTGAATTCAAATTTAATACTATCCATTATACAGTGACCCACTTGTGACCTACTGTACAGCAGAGCACCTTTTTTTTTAGTTTTTTTTTCTATAATTGTCAATAAAATTGAATAAATAAATAAATTTGTTGGGAAAAACTCCACGGATCTACTCGAAAAAGTACATTTATAACTTTATTAAATAGTATAGAGTTATTTTTTTTCATGTATAAATGAATGCATATACATTGAAAAAAATACCTACTCTACTTACATTATACATTATACAGATCATAATGGTTGGACTGATAGGTTTTTATAATATAATCTAAGTTTTTTTTTTTGTTTGGTTGGAGGTAAATGTTTCAATCTCCCCTCACAACTATGAAAAAATTACGCCACTGCTATATATATTGTAGTATACATATACTATTTTATACAGATAATAGTCAGTGGTATATCTAATGGTATAATCTGGTCAATTAACAATACATTTTAAGCGTTCGAGCACAGAATAGCGACGAGTCGATGGTTGAAATGTGCTATCTGCGCATTTTAATGCATTTTTCATTTCGTTGCTGGTTTGTATATTTAAATAGAAATATTTGACAAGGCGTGATAGTTTTTCCTGAAAAAACATTTTTATTGATATAATACACCGTATCAACACCTAAATAGGTATCAGGCAGTAGATTAGTGTAAAAGTACTATGGGTATAAAATTATAACATCCACCGAGTCACCCATTCTAATATTTTTCAAAATCATGCACCGGTAGTAACTGACAGGTTCATTTAGCTCGCACTGTGTAATCAATACTCTTTATTTAAAAATTAATAAGGTACAGAAATACTATTGAATATGCGTCATATAAAAAATTAAAATGTATAAAAACCCTATAATCGTATTGCATTGTACATTGTAATCCCCTTAAATGTAAAACAGACAATTCGAAAATTGAAAGCATTATTTGGACAACTTATCGTGTACACAGACACAAAAAAAAAATTTAAAAAAATTTAAAAATTTAAAAAAAAAACACATTATTGTAAAATCCATCGTTCCACTCAGAATCTAAAAAAGGCAATTGTTTTTCATTAATTATTAGGTATGTATCTAATTTAATATTTATTATACTAGACAATACATTTATTTTATTAATAGGTAACTATAAAAAAAATTACATATAGTATATATGGCATTAAGCAATTAGTAATTATCGTATATCACAGTTAAAAAACCATATAAGTAACATAAACGATAAATCAAAATATAAATAAATATAAAATAAATAGTTCAATAACATATTACATAATATTATTATGTATTACTTATTAGTTATTAATATTATTATAAAGTATAGAAGTATAGCTGCAATCTGCATAATTTTGTACACCTATCACATATAATTGTTTAAAAAATTCAGGAGCAAGGGCAAAGTTTCCATCGCTAAACCATAACCATGTATCTGACTCAGCTAGACAGTAAGGACAATCGAAGGGGTCCGTGCAAGAACGAGATAACTCCATTTTTCAAAACTTTTCAGGAAACGATAATGTTATTTTAAAAATATTTAAATAAAGATAAATATAATTTGGAAATTAATTTAGATACATTAGACCACGATGAAAAAGATGCCGTAGTAATTGATTTGATTTTCTTAATTTCTTTGAGATGATAGCTAATATTAACCTACATTTTTGGAGTTATCTTGTATTTTGACCAGAACCATGTATTTATTATTTATTCATAATTTGTTTTAATACAAAAAAAATATTATTATTCATTCTATGTTTTAGAAATTTGTTTTATTTATTGAAGTATGATTTTATGAATCATTTTCAGACAAAAAAAAACAAATTCTACTTGAATATTTAACTATACATATCATTTTTGGAGTTATCTTGGTTTTTGAACAGAACTTTAAGGCTACTACTACTCTTCAGTATTTATTTTAACGTTAAAACACTTAAAAGTTAAAACTTCAATAATGTATTATGTATTTGCGTATTAACGTATTTGATAAGTGAAAAACTTTCTGATAATTGATAGTACAGAAAACATATTGAACAAAATATAGTGTAGATAACATTCGGAGCAAAAACCAGATAACTCCGGAGTTATCTGGTTTTTCAACGGAAAAAAAAAACCAGACAACTCCATTTACTTTATACCTCCTATACGAATGATCGGAATTGTCTCGTTCTTGCACAGATATACCCGTAATTTTTTTCTTGATAATAAACAGCTAAAACCCCATTTTTCGAAAAAAAAATGGAGTTATCTCGTTCTTGCACGGACCCCTTCATTATCCTATATAGGTGGCAAACATAATAATGCTTTCACTGCAGGTATTTGGGCCGTTATCGTATAGTAAAAATCATTCTTGACCATATTCTTTATATTCACTTATTAAATTTTAAATTAAATAAGTGCCTAATTGTTTTAAAAATCAATTTTTATTTTAATAATGTACAAGTGAGTAACATTTTTAGAGATAAGAATTGAACCAAAAAAAATTATTCAGTACATTTATTATAGACTTGTTACTCGTGATAAAAATATTAGAGCACTCATCTCTAAATATTGTACATTGACTTTTAAAATATTTTTATTTATAAGCGAGATGTAAGTAGGTAAGATATTGAAATTCAAAAATACTCATTTATCTTGCTTAAAAATTAAGCGAAATAAATAGTTTTAAACATTTTAATTTACCTTCAACAATTATTTCTAACAGACATCTTGGCTTTTTTGGATTTTACCCTCTATGATTTCGAGTACTTCTTTTTAAATAATCTTCCCTCGACAATTCGACTAATACACTCTCTCCGGAACATTTAATATTGCACTTGAAAAAATTTGACTAAGTGCGTCGTTGATTATTGTGGCTTTTGCCTTCATATTTTTTATAATTTTTACTGCAGAAAGCATATTTTCATTTGCCTCGTGCACTTGATCGTGTTCAAGTTAAGTAGGACTATCAATATTTAAATCGGTTTTTAAAATACAGGGACACTTCATTGAACCTGATTTAGTACATCTCCAACGAATCATAGATTGCATTCTTTTTGAATGTTGTACAAATATCCACCGTATGGAATTTGAGGTTTTTTATTATTATTTCGCACCACTTCCATTTTATACTCTCACTTTTAATTCAAATAATCAAAGCGTTACGACAAGATAATAACTAGATGAACGAAAAATTCGTACTGAAGAGAATATCATACTGTGTACCTAACACCGTGCACACTTTTAATTTAAAGTGATCACAACAATAAATATATAAGCAAAAAAACCACATTTGTAATAATACAATGTTGTAAATACCTACGTCCTACTCAGATACCAAGACTAGTTTCCAGATAGAGTCCACAATCATCGGCGTGCGCAGGGGGGATGCCGGGTATGCCTTGGCATCCCCTGCAGAGTTATCTTAACCATAAAGTTTTCATAGTTGTAAGTGTTTTGATTATAAACTAGAATCATGGACTAAGATAGTTCATAGTATCTTAGTTCAAGAGTTTAAATATTTTGATTAATTTTTTTATATTAAATAGGTATTGGCAGTTGATACAAAATCAAATATTAGGTAATTAGATTTCATAATTATATTTTCATAATCACCACAGGTATCTATAAATAATAAAATAGATTGCTAACTCGTGATAATATAGTTGAATCCACCATTTTCGTGAGAATTATGAGTTTTGTAACCAGAAAATTTTGCAGGCTCCTGAGATATTCCTTATTTTCATATTACCTACAACTATCAAAAATAAAAGAATTTTGATTAATTAGATTATAATTTTTTGTCATTATTATATTATTATATAATATGATCAAATGGCTGTAGGTTTCTATACTGGTACTTCATTGGAATGAAATCACAGTACAAACTTTTTAAATTGAAATATCTGAAACCAATAATTAATATAAGCTAAATAAAACGCATGTTAATTTCTTTTTGCTATACATGGCAAGTTATTAATTGCACCTATTAAGATTTTTTGGGGAGTTATTTTTTGTTTTGAGCTAGGTATGTTTAAAAATAATGGCATACCCTGCGAAAAAAGTCTGCGCACGCCTATGTCCACAATAAAATATAACACCTTCATATTTTTTAAGATAAAGTCAAATATCAGTTACTTTTATTACCTACTATACTTCATCTCTTATATTTCAAATAATTTTGAATAGTTCAAACACTATGGAGAATACCTAGGTATGGTTAAAAATGTTGATCAGTAGTTAATGTATACACCAAATACGCTACATACGTATTTGTCAATTATAATAATTGTGCTTGTAATAAATAAGTATTAATAATGTAATAATAAGTCATAATAGGTAGGTAAATAATATTGGAAAAAAATTAGTGTTTTAACACACATTTTCAACGAACAGTAGGTTCGAAACTTGGCCATTTTTCAAGTTTTTAATATTTTCATTAATAAACTTTTCCTTTTCAGCAATTTTTTTTTGATTTTAATTTAAGTGAGCTTCTTTGCTTTATATATTATGTTTCACATTGTACCACTTTTAATTGTTCAATCAATAAAAAAATATTTGTGTGGGCGGAATAACATCTAGAATTCATGAAACGATTGGCAACAGTTTGTTGTTCGTTCTGAAGTGGCTGA